TATGCCAAAATTCCAGCATGCTATTTTGCACGAATATTTTGTTGTTCCATACTTTGCTAACACTTGGTATTGTCAGAATTTAATTTTAGCCATTCTATTGGGTGCAAAGTGGTATTTCAATATGGTTTTAATTTGCATTTCTCTAATGATCAGGGATGTTGACCAACTTTTCATGTACCTTTTGGGTATTCATGTATATTTTTACCTGAAGTGTTTATTCAAATCTTTTCCCCACTATGAATGAGGGATCTTATTAATAAGTATTAAAGGTTCTTTGCATATTGTGGATACAAGTCTCTTTTTAGATATGGTCAGTTGATTTTTGAAAAAGGTGTCAAGTCAATTCAATGGAGAAAGGAAAGTCTTTTTAACAAATGCACTGGAATAAATGGATGTCAATACAGAAAAATATGAATCCCAGCCTGTATCTCACTTCATAATCAAAAACTAATTCAAGATAGAATATAGAGCCCAGAACAACAAATAAAACCCAGAACAATACAACTCCCTAGGAAGAAATACAAGAGATTATTTTCATGACTGTGTGACAGATAAAGATTTCTTAGAAAGGGCACAAAAAGCCCAAAGCATAAAGAAACAAACTGATAAACTGAACTTCATTAAAATTAAAATTTTCTACTCTTCAAGATACTCCATTAAAAAACAAACAGACAACCACAGAAGACTGGGGGAAATAGCTGTGCTAATTGTACATGACAAAGGACTTGTGTCCAGAATGTATAAAAAACTACTACAAGTCAACAATAAAAAGACAAATAATCCAATTATTAAAAACAAGCAAAAGATCTGAATAGTTACTAAAAGAAGATATACTAATGGCCAATAAGCACAAATGAAAATGTGATCAAAAGCATTAGTCAATAAGGAAATGCAAATTAAAATCACTGTAAAATACTATTTCACATGCACTAGAATGGTTATAATTTAAAAAAAGATTCAAAATACCAATTATTGGCAAGGACTTGGAGCAGTTCTCGTATGTAGTTATACGTAGAGTATATGTGGGTGGCGCAAATGGTTTGCACTTGCCTACCAACTGAAAAGTTGGTAGTTCTAACCCACCCAGCAGTACTGTGGAAGAAAGGCCTGGTGATCTGCATCCAGAAAGATCACAGCCAAGAAAACCCATGAGAGCTCAGTTCTCCTGTAACATCTGGGGTCACCATAAGTCAGAATCAACTTAACAGCGATGGGTTTGTTTGTTCGTTTTAGACCAGATACATGTTTAACTTTTACAAAGCTGCCAAACAGTTCTCTAAGGTGATTGTACTGTTATACACTCCCACCAGCAATGTAATTATACTCCGAAGTATATGTACAAAGGTATGAAAACATGTCCAGAAAAAAAAGAAGACAAAACAAAACCTGCACGAGAATATTCATGGCAGCCTTACTCTTAATGGCCCTGAACTGGAAATAATCCAAATGTCCATCAACAGCAGAGTAGATAAATTATGGTATATCATTACAATACAATACTCCTCCTCAATAATATGGAATGAACTATTGATATGCAACCACACAAATAAATTTCAAACATTATGTTAAGCAAAAGAAGCTACAGACAGAAAATAGTACATGCTGCATGATTCCACTGAGGTGAAATTCAAATGCAGGCAAAACTGATCTTTAGTGACAAGTATACGATAATGGTTTCAAGAGGGGGAGGGAGGGAGGGCAGCTGATTGGCACATGAGTGCAGGGGGCAGGGGGATACGGACATGGTCCACATCTTATTTTGGGTGGTGGTTATACTAGCGTATACAACTGTCATCTGTGAAATAATAAAACCCTCAAAACTACCTGCACTTCTGTTCACTGTCTATTAAAACCATGTGAAATGATGATGCTTGGTTTGCTCACCATATTGTTTTACCAGAACACCCGACACACCGCAGCCCTCTCTGAGAGGTGAAGACAGTTCTAAAGGACAGGGTGGTACACAGCACACGTGCAGAGGAAGCAACGGGAATCCTGATGCCTTCTCAGGTCCTGGCTGGAGGCCCTTCCTGAGGCACAGACACAGTCCTGTCCCTGTAACATGAGATCTTTATTACAAATTCTCTTTTTTGTTTTAACCAGGGCCAAGCGGTTTCAGTTACTTGTAGCCAGAGTGTCTAAACTGTCCATGGCATGCTGATTTACCGCGTATCCACTGTCACAGCTCAAAACACCTGACATCATAGAACAGAGGTTTAAAGCTTAAAAAGGACGCACGTGGGAGCAAATCACCGAGGAAACCTGGGGCAGAGGACAGCGCACACGCCCTCAGTCTGACTGGAGGCTCCTCTAAGCCCTCGTACTCTGTACTGTCCCTACTCTAGCCCTCTGGGATATGCCCTGGATGCTGCTGGGTTCCCTACTGTTCATAATTCCTGCGTTTTTACCCCCACCTGGAGAGTGGTGTTGACTTTGATTGCCGCACAAAACCACAAGCAGTTCTGCCACACAGAACGTGGCTGCAATCAGCATCAGCAGCTCCCTTCATCGTGATGATTACAGCTCAGGGTCTTGAGCATGACGCCCTCATGCTAACTCCCAGACTCCTTTTAAATAAAACGCTGCTGACTAGAGAAAAAGCTGTATTTATACTCGGTAATCTTTTTATTCACTCATATGCATTTGATAAAAGCAACTTCTAAGCCTTTAAAACTAGTCTTTTTAAAAATATAATAAACACGTTCTGAAATCAAGCTTACATCAATATTTTGATTTTTAATTCAGTGTCTTTATACTAAGTAACAATATCTCCTGAACGCCCACTGAAATGAAATGACTGAACACCGGTGCTTTTGTGGAAAGAGATCACCCAAAGGATCATGAACAGCTTCAAAGAAAGTTAAGAGATTTGTTAAGAATCAAAATGGATCCAGGCATTTTAAACATTAAAATAAATTGTAACACTAACTTGAAATAATCACCCCTTGATGGCTTCAGCTTCTCATTTGTCATTACATATACATATAACTTAGTAAAATATGAGTAATAATTTAAAGAATTGTCCCTTAACCATATTCAGAAAAAGAAATGAGGTATTAAATTTGTTTAGTTTTAAACAGTAATATAAAAACTCAAAACTTAATTTTTTAGGCAAAAAAAAAGTATGTGTAACAGAGGGACTACATATTTATGTAAAAGAACTAGTATTTTGTTATTCATCTTCTCAGATAAAGCTCTATTTGATATATTCGGCTAGAATTTGTAGATGTTAATTTCAGACTTAGAAACAATCCAACCATGCATAAAGCTTCCATTGTCCCACCTTACCAAATCTTTCTATCACCAAATACATTACCGTTGAATAACCCTTAAGTTGGAGGAGGGAGGAAAAAGCAAATAGATTCTAAAACTTTTTTTTTTTTTTTAAGTAAGGTGTTGATTCAATAAAATTCAGAGAAAAACAGGAAATGTCAAGAATGGCCTCCTTATCATTCAATGACACTCAAACACAAAACATCCTCTTCACACAACCGGCCTTTTTTAACTCTCTTATACTCACTGAAAAAACAAGCACATTTCTAATAGACAGAACAGGTATATTCTGTGAAAAGTAAAAATGCATTTAACATCAGTCATTTCTCTTCAGTATTAAGTCAAGCAATCCTAATTCTATCCTAACATGTTGCTAGAGTCTACATCAGAAGAGAGACAGCTAAGATGAGAATAAGGTGTGCCTGCACGTGGCAGCCTTGAGGTGGGATGCCGTATGGTGAGCTTAAAGCTTCTTGAAAACATTAGGGCATATGAGAAGTATACAGAACGGGAACATGGAAAACAGTGATTTGTCCTATACAAAAAGCCTGTTTAGTGTAACCCTACATTTAGGGGAGGTGAAGGAAAATTTCCCCAGCTCACTTGTGACACATACCACGGGTACCAGAAACCAGAACTGTGCCCATCAGCGATCCACTCTATTGTAGCTTCAGCAGGTTTCTGTGGGGTTGCCTAAAAGCTAATCACCATGCATAACATTATTTTAATCACCATGCATAACATTATTTCTGTGCTAAAACGTGTTCCGAGGAAATGGAGACCTGACCTGTGGGGCAGGAAACAGATTTGTTGGACTACTGGGCCTGCTTGCTGAGATCCAGTCGAGTAAGTGTTATAAGATACGCAAATAAAGGGGAATTAAGTTGTCTGTTTTGACAAGGTTATTCAGCTGGGCCAGCAGGAGAAAGAACAGATCCTTCAGGAACAGAATCACTTGGAGAACTAATGTCTAGTGAAAGAATGTTGTTAAAGAGATGTGGAAATGATTCCAAGAAAGGAGACTGAGCAATTCGCTTGGCTTTATTTTCTTATCTGTTTGGACACTAACAGATTCTAGCCACCCACGGTGGCCCTCTGTACGTGTCTCTCCTTTCAGTGGTCTCTCACCTTGCTGACATGCTGCACTGCTAGAGAACCAGAGTTAGTGAAGCTTCCACTGCAGACCACTGTGCTGCTCAAGTGACCTTGGTAAAGACTTCACTGGGGATGGCCACCTGCCAAAAACTAACTGGGAAGTGAGAGTCAAACAGGGGAAGGACAGGAGGGGCCTTCCCTCAGTGGACACAAGATAAATGAAGGACAGAAGCCCAAGAAGGTCATCCGAGTACCAGTGCAGGTGAGCGAGACAGTGCCAGAAGAAGCAGCACATCTTCTCATCGTAGCAAAGCCGAGGACTGGCTGCACCGATACCCCACTCAACAGCCCCATCGTCAAGTCCAAAAAAAAAAAAACTTAAAGATGAACTCGAAACAAAAAATAATACTCTCATCTAGTCTTTGGTTGGGAAGTATTTATACTGGCTTCTTCCCGACCCACGTTAAATTTTTCATTCATCAGCTCTGCCCCTCCTGCCATGCGGCAGTCCTGCTGTCAAGAACTTTTCAAACCTGAGTCTCCAAATAGGAGCGTGGAGGCCTGCAGCATATATTCTCCAGTGCAAATACAGATTCTTAGAATTAAAGTAAGCATCTTTAGAGCGCTGTTACCTGCCAACAACAGTACCTGTCAAAGGCTGAACTCCCCTGAGGTTCGCTTTCTTAGGCCTCACCTTTTCAGGTGGTTTTTCTGAGGCCAGGGTCGCTGGTGCAAGCTTTTCTTGGCCACTTGGAACATCAGGAAAAAGTTTCTTCAGTACTTTTCCAACAAACACTATAAAGGCAACCAATTAACAAAACAAAAAAGGAAAGGAATGACTTATGGCAGTTTTATTTAAATCATACATGGCTTTTTAATTTAAAACAAAAGCAAAAACATACCCTAACATTACCACCCTTACAACCAAGCAACTGGGGCCCTGCCCAGCCTACTGTGTCTCAGAGGGCCCTACCCGGCTCGCGCTCTTCCAGCTGAGCCTCTCCCCGTGGGACAAGCAATCCACGGTTTCCACATGTGTGTGCATAAGGAACAGGGAGGCACCAGCGGGACGAGAAGGGGGGCAGGTCTGCATCATCCTGACGATGGGCTGAGGTGTCTGCATTTTTGTTTACATGTAATTCCATTTTCCTCCCGATTGCTCTTATCACTCATTGAATTTCTATGTAAAATATAGGCTGTGAACCAATCTCAGACTTTGGGGGGATGAAGTCTTGGGTACTAAGCATGCTCCTACAAAAGGTAGGTCCAAGCTGCAGTTCACACAGAATATCCCAAACACAGGCCCAAGAAAGCAGTTATCACTGGAAAGACAAGCTCTAAGGGAGGTCAGTAGGTCCAGTACACCACCCTGCTCCCAAAACCCTAGTGAAGACTTCCATTTGTACCTCTTTCCAGTTTAAACTGCACACGCTAACAAGCACAATTAAGGAAACAATTCTGGAATCGAATCGCTACAACGGTTTTCACAAGCATGTGGAGATTTTTCACTTTGTTTATTTTAGTTTACATTCTGCTTTAACTGGAGGAGAAAAAGCTGTCATAATGAATAAATATTTCCATCCTGATTTAAGTGTCCTTATCCCACATGCCTTAAAACTCAAGAATCAATTTGCCAGCACGTGTTACAAAGACCACTGAACCCCAAAGCCTTTTTGGTCTCTGTAGTTCTTTGCCATATTGATCACAGTCTCCCTTATTAATGACAGTGGCATGACTGTTGTAAGAGGCTTCACCTGGTCTAGAGGTTGAAGATAAGCGGTTCCTTGCTCAGGGGCAAGAGTCATCAAGACCTGGGTGGTTGAGGCCATGCCAAGAGGCCATGTCAAGAGACCACACACAAGCTTCAAAGGCTTTAAGGAAACCTTTCTGCAGGCCACTTTTCTGAGAGTTAGTCTCAAGCCAGACCCTGAACTTTTCTGTGACATCAGTGTCTCCAAGATCCCAAGGTCCCACTCTGGTTATTAACTTTGATTAGGCTCTGCTGTTGCTGTTGTTAGGTGCCATCAAGTCGGTTCTGACTCATAGCGACCCTATGCACGACAGAACCAAACACTGCCCAGTCCTGCATCATCCTCACAATCATTGCTTTGTTTGAGCCCATTGTTGCAGCCACTGTGTCAGTCCATCTCATTGAGGGTCTTCCTCTTCTTTGCTGACCCTCTACTTTACCAAGCATGATGTCCTTCTCCAGGCACTCATCCCTCTTGACAACATGTCCAAAGTACATGAGATAAAGTCTCACCATCCTTGCTTCCAAGGAGCATTCCAGCTGTAGTTATTCCAAGACAGACTTGTTCGTTCTTCTGGAAGCCCATGGTATGTTCAATATTCTTTGCCTACACCACAATTCAAAGGCGTCGATTCTTCTTCAGTCTTCCTTATTCATTGTCCAGCTTTCGTATGCATATGAGGTGACTGAAAATACCATCACTTGGGTCAGGCACACCTTAGTCCTCAAAATGATATCTTTGCTTTTCAATACTTTAAAGAGGTCTCTTGCAGCAGATTTGCCTAGTGCAATGTGTCTTTTGATTTCCTGACTGCTGCTTCCATGGGCATTGATTGTGGATCCAAGTAAAATGAAATACTTAACAACTTCAATCTTTTCTCCATTTATCATGATGTTGCTTATTGGTCCAGTTGTGAGGATTTTTGTTCTCTTTACGTTGAGGTGTAACCCATACTGAAGGCTGTAGTCTTTGATCTTCATCAGTAAGTGCCTCAAGTCCTCTTCACTTTCAGCAAGCAAGGTGTGTCATCTGCATATCGCGGGTTGTTAATGAGTCTTCCTCCAATCCCGATGACACATTCTTCTTCATATAGTCCAGCTTCTTGGATTATTTGTTCAGCATACAAATTGAAGTGGCTCTAGATACTGTGAACCTGACCTCATATGGCTTTAACCACAGTACTAAGGTCTAGACCTGACACTCCGGGCTCATGAAAAGCACTGTTTCAACAGGAAAACACTTATTTCTGCCCTCTTCCTAGGTCTCCCATGCAGACAAAATAAAACAAAACAGAACTCACAACACCCAGGTTCTAAAAGCAGAGACCTGTTTATTAGGAATACAGTTAATAAGAAATCACTATGGTCCAAGAGTGGGCTATATTTGTTGCCCAAGCATTACCCCATGGGGTGACCGGCAACTGATAGGAAGGACCTCTCAGACTGCAGCGTGGCTGATCCTGGGACCCCTGCTATGGGTTCCGAGATTCCTGTTTTAGGGAAAGGTGAGCATAGTTGAGGTTCAAAATAGCATCCGAACAAACACTCTGCTGTGGCCCCTAGCCAGTGACCAAGGCTCACTCATTTCATCATCAGAAGTATCCAGCTGCTTCCAGGTTGCTATAGCAGAGGAAGAACTGTCTCCTAACTGGCTTATTTTATTCTTGTTTAAACTAAATCTAGCACATTAAATGCAAAGGCTTGCTACTTATTGTTTCAGCTGCTTTATTTTACTTAGTGAAGCAACATTTTCTAACACTAAGACAAAAGAAGAGTTGCTTAGTGAGTACAATGTCCTACATCCTTGATGACTTAAGACAGTCCAAACCAACTCTCAAAGTTTATTCTCTTTTCTCGAGGTGAGAAAATCATAACAGTATTCTTTAAGAAATCCCTCTTTATATTGGAAAGGGACTGAGCTCAAAGCTGGATTAAACTGGGTTTAACTATAGTTCTGCCACTTGTTTAAATTATGTTACCTTTCTGAGCCTCAGCTTTTTCATCCATAAAATGGGCAAGAATAATCCATACATGGGGACATTGTTAGACTAAATAAAACACGTATGTGACGTATTGGGCTAGCACAAACCACACATTAGCTGTCTCCTGGCTCCTGAGACAATGCTGTCACTCATCTGGCCTGTCTCTCTTTTGCTCTCTCCCTTCATTACCTCATCCTGTAAGTACTGGGATTCTCTCGGATCCTGCCTGTGCACTGTTCTCCTCATTCTATATGTTCTGTTAGGTGGATCTTCATTTCCTCACACAGTTTCAATAATACACTAAAAGGATGTAATCGTCTATAGCCTGTATGAGCTCTAGACACTTACTTCCAACCATCTGACACCCCTACCTTGATTTCCTTTTACGTAAGAAACCAGTTGCCTTTGAGTCGATTCTGCCTCATGGTGACCCTTATGCGTGTCAGAGTAGAACTATGCTCCATAGCGTTTTCAGTGATTGATTTTTCGGAAGTAGATCAGCAGGCCTTTCTTCTGAGGTGCATCTGGGTGGACTTAGCACCTTGTATTTTAACAATTCAAAAACCTGAACCCACTTTTTCTACTTCAACCCTAGGGCTCCAGCTCTTTCAGTCTCCACCTTGGGTTAATGGCATTGCTGGCGACTCAGTCCCTTGGGCTAGAAACCTTCATCTTCCTCATTCCTCCCATCCACAACACTTACTAAGTTCCAACGCTCTACAACTAGACTCCACTCTTTCCATCACTGTTCTCATCATACTGTTTTCATTCAGGCCCTCACTATCGCTAACTAGACTGTCTCTCAGTCCCTCTGTGTATCATCTGCCATCCACAATACCTACAGTTACCTTCCTATTTTTTGGAATTTTTCATTTTGAAATTATTTTAGACTTAACAGAAGAGTTGGAAAAACAGCACAGAGAGTTCTTGTACACCCTTCACCCAGCTTCCCCTAATGTTAACAGCTTACACAATCATCGTATCAAAAAAAAAAACAACAAAACTAAGCCCATTGCTGTCGAGTCAGTTCTGACTCACAGCAACCCTATAAGACAGAGTAGAACTGCCCCATAAGGTTTCCACAGAGCGGCTGGTGGATTGGAACTGTCGACTTTTGGGTTAGCAGGGAGCTCTTAACCACGACGCCACCTGGACTCCACAGTCATAGTACAATTGTTAAAACCAGCAAATTAACATTGGTATGATACTGTTAGCTAAACTACAGATTTTATTCAAACCTCACCAGTTTTTCCGCTGACGTCCTTTATCTGTCCCAGAATCCAGTCCACGATCCTACACTGCATTTAGTTGTCACGTCATCATAGTTTCCTCCCACCTGTGACAGTTCCTCAGTATTTCTTTGTTTTTTATGACCTTGATACTTTTGAAGGTTACAGTCAGTTATTTTGCAGAATGTCCTTAATTTGGGTTTGTCTGATGTTTTCTTGTGATTAGAGATTATTGTTTTTGGCAAGAAAACCACAGAAGTGGTGTTGTGTCCTTCTTAATGCATTATACCCAGGGTTTCCTGATGTCACTATGTCTTGTTACTGATGTTAACCCAGATCACTTGGTCAAGGTGGCGTGTGATGGATTTCTCCAATGCAAAGTTACCATCTTTGCCACCACAATTAATAAATACCTGGGGGAGATACTCCGAGACTATGCAACTATCCTGTTTTTCCTCAGATTTTCACCCACTAATACTAGCATGAATCCCTGGGTGGCGCAAACAGGAAGTGCTTAACTACTGGCCGAAAGGTTGGTGGTTCCAACCCATCCAGAAGTGATCGGAACCTGTGATCTGCTTCTGAGGGGTCACAGCCTTGAAAACTCTGTGAAGCAACTCTACTCGGAACTACGCGCAGCCCACGCAGAAAAAGTGAGGAGTTATGCTTCCCCTCCTTTAGGACAGAATATCTACTTAAGCATCTCAGGGTTCTCTAGAGAAACAGAATCAGTAATATTTATCATCTGTCTGTCTGTCTATTATCTATCCATCCATCCATCCATCCGTCCACATAGTAAGCATGAATCCAGTTCCCCAAATCTGGAGATTAATC